CTCAACGGGCACGAGGACGTGAAACTCCTACCAATGACATTATCTGCTTCATGACAAAAAGAGAAAGCCAGACGGCTCTGGAATAAGCTCACTTTTTCCTGAACCGGTAAGACTGCCTCTTCTAGTTTTCGTGTGTGCTTTTTTAACCATTAATGTAGCCATATACTGAATTAATTCAACTGACAATGGAAACAGTTTTGCTTTCGTGTACATCAGTCGTCTTTTTTCTGCCACTGCTTTTACTTTAACGGTGAGTTTGGGAGCTCTTGCAGAGGAGACTGTTGTTTCAGTAATACAGCTCAGGTAGTTAATACAGAGTGAAGAAGCCCTACAGCTTTTCATTCCAGATGAGACAGAAGACAAGCGTGCTGGCACTGGCTAACAAAATGCTGTAGAGGTGTTGGCAGTGGAAGAGGAAAACTGTCAAGTACCTTATTGATATTTTGCACTTTCAGTCTCAAATGCTTAGTTAAAGGTCATTCATCCAAAAGGAATTTGGATATTCTTTAACCTTTCTCGGTCTCTCTCCCAATACACTTTGAAGTAATCTGTAGTATTTCCTGATGTATCTATGAGGAATGCTGGTGTTGATGAACTGACAGGTGGTCTTTTCCTGATGAACTCAGTAATGAGCTGTTCTTTGCTCCAGAATATTTTTTCTTTTTGGTTGGCAGGTCATCATTGCCAAGATAAAATACTTGTGTTTTTTATTTACAGAAAGGAAACCTTTATACTACTGGTAATGGAGTGATCTGAACCCAGGGGTCTTGAAAGTAGGTCATTAAGTACTCAGTGTGGGAAAAAGTGTGTTTTCCAGCATTCGTGATTTTACTGGAGGGAATTATCTTGTTTTCTAATCTTGGCTTTAAAATCAAAAGACTTTTATAAGACAAAAAAATTGATCATTTGGTTTCATCACAAAGAAAATAATTATATCTAAGATATCTAAGAGTAACATATTTTGAATCAGGACTAACATTTTTCCATTGATTTTTTTTTTTTTTTTAGCAATAAAGTGTCTGAAAATAACATTTTTCTGTCATTGGACAACATAGATTTTAAAGTCAATAATAGAGCAGACTGCTTCAAATTGGAAAATACAGAAACAACTGTGGCATTGTTTTTTGTTTCTGGTTGTCTGTTAGTTGATATTAAACAAATCAGAAGTATATGATATAGCAACAGCAATTACTGGGCTAGAATCTATGTAAGGGAGCGTTGCCGGGAGCCAGTCTGGCCCCTGGTACTCACAGCAGTACAAGGCTGCACCCATTTGTTATGGCCACCGAGATGCTGTTACAGGATTTACCAGAACCTGGCAAGGTTCACCTGCTCTATTCATTCCCTTGGGAGAGCCCATCTATCCCAGAAAAGCACCAGTTGATTTTTCCATCTTCTGGCGTTCTAGCGCTGTCAGCTTGCTGTCTCCTAACCTCTTTTCTCTTTCTCCCCATATGTATTTTAGGTGACTAGAGCTGAGAGGTAATTTGAGCAGTTGGCTCGTTCACTGCGTATTGATATGAGTGACTCGTGTTGCAGCAGTGGCCATGTGCTGTGCTGTGCAAGGTGCTGTACGTGTAGTTCAGTACACATGAAACTGTGGCTGTTTATTGACAATGGGTACCACTAAATGTCAGTGGCTTTTGCAGGCATGATATCTTACATTTCCAGTAATTAATGCAGATGCCATAAAACTCACCTACCTCTCACCCTCTCTCTTTTCTGGGCATTTTGAAGCAAGGCTCACGAAGTAAAGGTTGCATCGCCTACCTAAAATATAACTCATATGGCATGGGTTTGCTTTTTTTGGGTTTGCCTTTTTTTTTTTTTTTTTTTTTAACAAATATCACTGTAATAATTACCGTAACAGAGAGCTTTCTGTGGAGTTAATGTTCTTCTGGCTTAATGGCCCCTGGTTATTCTCAGGCCATCAACTTTTCCCAGCTGGTCATCAATCCCCAAGAACTGCCTTGTGCCTCCATTATTATTGCTTAAGTAGATGACATTTCTGGTGCAACCACTGCCTCCCAATGAGCTGATATTACAGCCAATGGCTTTTTTCCCCCCTTGCTTTCAATATTGTCAAAGCATTATAAACAGCTGGTAGGAGAATTTTGTGGCTTTTGGCTGTGAATTCCTCTGACAATTTTCAGGTGCGAGTTTTGTTGATTTCGACTGAAAGGATCTGAGCAGGGTGAGTGCAAATGAGTTGCCTGGAGCAGCTGCTGGGCTCAGCCCCCATGCATCATTCAGGAAGTAGCTGGGCAATACCTGAATGATTCAGTCTAAAGACTTTTTCCCAGAAGGAACAGTTTTCAAACAAGATCTGGGACAGATGTTTTGGGGGGATGTTAATGTTTATCATCTAGCAAATCGTGACATCCCCTCCCTCACCCCCTCTCCCTACTTCCCCCCCAAGTTTTCACAGCTCCACTGATGGTCACTCTTGTTTCCTAACAATTGATGGCTTCTCTGGCAGACTTTGAAAAGAAACAAGGATGTTGTAGCTCAGTAGGCCAGAAACCAGCAGAGATTGTTTAGGTGAAAATGTCTTGCTATGTGGATATTCAAACCCATGTGAGTTAACATTGGTGCTGACTACATTTCCTTTAACCTCATTAGCACTTCATCTTGCTTTCCCAAGCATGATGGTGGAGCAGCTAGTTCACCTTAGAGCCTTTTGCTAGGTAATTCATCAAACTGGCAGATGAAAGCTTAAAGGAAAATGCATGTAAATACTGCATTAGGAACCTTGGCTCCAAAGGCATAAACATTTCTACCCATATCCTTAGCTCTGGCTTACAATCCATATATATGTGAAAGAAAAGGGACTTTGTTCTTTGGGGAGGATGGAGATGCAAAGCTTACTGGTTGTATCATTACACAAATTTTACAGTTTAGTTATTTTGTCTTTAATTAAAAAGCACTTCATTATTCATTAGCTATTCTCATAGAAAAAAAGCTCAGAGACTGCAACTACTTACTACCTTGAAAATTAAAAGCAAGTTACTTAAGTAAAACACCCCCTTCAAATGCTAGGGGCCAAAACATTTCCAAAGAGGGGCCTGAGATTATCCCAAATCTAGGTTATGTCTTTTCAGCTACAGAGTTTTAAGCTGTGCCTCACAGCACACTGATCTAGTCATGTGATTGCTATGTATGGGGGTCGGTCTCTTCTCCCGAGTCACAGGCGACAGGACAAGAGGAAACGGCCTCAAGTTACGCCAGGGGAGGTTCAGGCTGGATATTAGGAAAAAAATTTTCACTGAAAGGGTCATCAGACATTGGAATGGGCTGCCCAGGGAGGTGGTTGAGGCCCCATCCCTGGAGGTGTTCAAAAGACGGGTTGATGTAGTGCTGGGAGGTATGGTTTAGAGATGATGCTCCTTGTTTGTTGTGTGGTGTCTATTTTTGTCAGTTAGGTTGACGGTTGGACAAGATGATCTTTAAGGTCCCTTCCAACCTAGAAGATTCTGTGATTCTGTGATTCTGTATACGTGGTTGATACTAAGTGTAATTATATGTCATCATAACATCTCATTGCTGGTGAGCCCACCAAGTGTACATCTGGAGAAACGCTCGCTATGTTTGTAATGGCATGAACAAGGAGCTGCCACGGAGAGCCACGGGGTTTGATCTTGAGGTGCCGAGGCCCTCGTTGTCAAAGATGGGTTCAGGTTGCTAGCGCTCTTCAGAGCCAATGAAGCCTGTCACTTCCTCAGTACAGCACAGGGTCAGGGCAGTGCCACAGTGCAGGAGGTGACTGCCCTCCGCGTGCGCCGTGTCTGATTTGGAGCCTCTGGAATTAAAGCATCCTGGTACTCGGTTGCCATTCTTTATGGTTAACCATGAAACTAAAATTCTGATAGAATTCTTCTACTTCTTAGAAGAAGAAGATCAGTAGATCAAAATGATCATGAAAGTGGCTTTCCAAGGAACTTCAGATGAGTGAGCAACCAGTTCAGTTTGTTTGTCTTTTCTTTTGCAAAGAAATGATAAGATATGCGCTCTCGATGTTCTGTAATTCTGATGTTACTGGCTGTAAATGTTGCAATATACTGTTTCATGGAGGTCCGCCGAGGCACGCCTTCTAACAGTCTGCCTCCCAGATTATTGTATTTTTGATAGAAATTAGCACTTTGGGGATACCATTAGCCGTTTGCCCCTTTTTAGTTCTCGTGCTGAGTGGCAGATACACTTACGTACTGTGCTTACTGATATCTGTATTGGTGGCTTCAGTAATATGATTTATAATGCATTTTCATTTTCATGAAAGCTTGTTTTACTCTCCCCATTCCATTAGGTCAGACACTCACTGAACAAGCTCCTCCTGTCCCATTTCACTGTGTAACTTTTAAACATGACCTGACAAGCTAGAAAAAGTTCACTGCCATGTAAAATAGCCACAGACATTAATGACCAGCGCTGGCTGCTGAACCACGCAGGAGGTACCAGAGCATTGCAGTGGCTGTGGCACCAACTTGGAGATGGCGTGAAAGGATTGGACCAAGGGTGTAACTCTCTTCCCTTGGCAAAATGTCCTGACCCCCCCCAAGGTTGAAAAGCTTTTCACACCTGTGCTTATGAGGATTTACAATTGATTATTTCCTGCAAAAAACTAGAAGAGGAAGAATAAAAAAATACTCCAATTATAGCTCATTTATGGCAAGTGGAATAAGTACAATCCTGTGCAGCTGGGAACAATATAGAAGCTGTTGTGATTACTGTATACGATGCAGCAGTGGAAAGGAGGATTTAAACAGTGGACGTAAGGCCACAGAGGAACTTAAAGAGCTATGCACCTATACTTCATTTTCCCCACCTACAAAACATAGAGGTAATGTGTCCCCAGTTATTTGGGAAGACTGCTGGGCGAGATTTATGTAAAGTCCTCTTGAGATCTTTTCTGTAAAATATGCCATGTACACGTAAAATATAGTTATCATGTAGTGAATGGGAAGATGTTTACAGCTAATTTTGAAGTGTGTATGTCTTTGCAGCCTTTAAAGATGCACTGCAAGAGTTGTGCGTTGGTAACCAGCTCCGGACACCTTCTGGGGAGCAAACAAGGTGACAGAATCGACGAGACAGAGTGCGTAATACGAATGAACGATGCACCTACTCGAGGTTATGGAAAAGATGTTGGAAACAAAACGAGCCTTCGAGTCATTGCACACTCCAGCATTCAGAGGATTTTGCGAAATCGCAATGAACTCTTAAATATGAGCCATGGTGCTGTGTTTATCTTCTGGGGTCCTAGCAGCTACATGAGGAGAGATGGTAAAGGCTTGGTGTATAATAACCTGCAGCTGATGAATCAGATATTGCCTCAATTAAAAGCATATATGATTTCTCGCCACAAGATGCTTCAATTTGATGACCTTTTTAAACGGGAAACTGGGAAAGACAGGTGAGAATTTATGTGGATACATTTGGGGGATGTCATACAATAGTAAAATAACGTAGTTTATATATACCAATTTCAGATCTGCTCACAGGGACCATCATGCCCATTAAATCCTCTGCCTCATGAGTTGTGATACGGTATAACATGCCAAATAACATCACTCGTAACATAAGTAAAGACTACGCATCAAAATAATTTGTACGGAGCATTGCCTCATCATCTTAGCATACCAGAATCTGGATGTACTGTTTATACAGCCAAGGAGGCAGGAGCTGTTTAAATCTCACTTTAGAGTAATAGATGTGAAAGTTTTTTTACTGATTCTGAAAAATCAGAATGGATAGGTTATGTTTTCTTATAGAGGAGATGCCACCATTCAGTGAATTATAATAGCTGTTTATTGAATTTAAGCATTCTTGGAACATTGCAGCTGTAAAGCTTCTTGTAAAACAAATAAACATTAGTCATACATTAGGTGCTTCAAAACAGTTCATCTTGTATTTCCAACTGGGAAAAGGAAAGTTATTATGATAGTTACATCTTCATGAGACTGTTTATGACTTGTAGGCTGATCTTCAAATCAAATTTTTAATAAGTGACCCACCGCAGGACTTGAGCATTTTCACATACAATATTTGAAAATGGGCATTTAAACCGATGACTTCTTAGCAAGAAATACGTTTCTTTTTAATGAGCTATTTTTTGCTTATTAAATATGCTGCTGTAAAAATGGAGCAGGGTCCCCACTTAGGTACAAATGAAGAGGCAGGTTTATTGTGGAGTAACTAGTGGTGAGATTTTCTAGTTTCACAAATACCTATATGTGCACACCAAAGCCTGGAGCTGGGCTCGATCCTCTTGTGAACAGGGAGGACCCAGGAGCACACCTTTGTTTTCTGGGCTGCACAACAAAGGCAGAACCAGTGTTAGAGGAAGCTGTTGTGCCCTCTGAGCTGATGGCCACTGTATCTTTGCTTTGCGTTTGCTGCCTTTGTCATACCCCACATGGGTTGCTTGCAGAGCTCTGTTCAGTTATAGGGGATCAAACCGCATATTTAAGTTCTTGATTGACTTCTACACTAACAGCAGAGCACACAGTAACTTGGTTGGTTTCTTACTATTAAAGGTCCTTTTCTGAGTCTCTGCTAGAATGAGAAGGAAGGATACCAGGGAGAGGTACCCCCCGCCAGCTCTGATGTGTTACTGTCTTTTCCATGTTTGTTCTCTCAGAGTAGAGCAAAGTGAGAAGGTGAATTAAGCATTTGAACCCTTCAAGACGATTGCAAAGCAAATAGTGCATGCCCAGCATTTACAAAGGCATGAAGGTTAACAAAGCTGTAGTTGCCCTGTACCATGGGCCATCATCAGCCCTGAGGGTCAGACCCTGTACATGAGGAAAGCCCACCCGCAGCCCCCTGTTTTGAGGAACAGCTCACCTCCTCTGCTTCAGTCTGGCCAGTTCTGCCGTGGGGAGCCAGGGTCCCGTTCCTCTCCTGACACTTGCTGTGCTGTCTCAGGCAAGATGCTCCTTCTGGTTCTCCATCACCCGTCCAGAGCAGGGGCCGACAGCTGCCCCTGTGATGGAAGCGTTGCTTTTTGCTGCACAGGCACCAGGCTCCATCTCGGCTCCTGAAATATTCTCCAGGCGTCTGTGAGACATTAATGACATTATAAGAGGTTTATAGTGGACTCAGCCATGGGCACCCTGCACTCCCCGTGTGAATCAAGGGCAGCTGGATGCTTGCAAAATTCGGCCTCGTGAACAGGTCCTGTTGCTTTTAAGAAATTGCAGGCTCTGCTGTGTATGAACCGCTCCTTCAGAGGGCACATACAGCATATTTGAAGGACTAAGAAGATTAAAACGGGAGATGAAAATAAATGAATAGGCAGCACAGAAAAAGAGAGGGAAGATGAAAAGAAACAGAGGTAGGAAGGAATTTGTAAGGGAAGAAAAATTATGTAGCTGTGGGGGCAGGAGCAGAACATTGTACAGCCCAGAATGTTGCTGTTCCCTGGGAGGTTTCTGCTGAGCTCTTGACATTAGTGCCTGCAAAAAACAAAGGAGGGAGAGAGAAGCCTGATTGCAAGGTTGCAATAATCAAACCATTCATTTCTGTCTTGAAAATGATGAGGAAAAAAGGTAATTCGATGTATTGTGCTGTTTGGAAAAAAAAAAAAAAAAAGCTGATTTTGAAATGAAGGGAAACCTTCAGAAAACATTGCCAGTTAAATAGTGTGGTGAGTGACAAAGGCTGCAGAGCAAGAAAAATTATGTAGCTGTGGGGGCAGGAGCAGAACATTGTACAGCCCAGAATGTTGCTGTTCCCTGGGAGGTTTCTGCTGAGCTCTTGACATTAGTGCCTGCAAAAAACAAAGGAGGGAGAGAGAAGCCTGATTGCAAGGTTGCAATAATCAAACCATTCATTTCTGTCTTGAAAATGATGAGGAAAAAAGGTAATTCGATGTATTGTGCTGTTTGAAAAAAAAAAAAAAAAAAGCTGATTTTGAAATGAAGGGAAACCTTCAGAAAACATTGCCAGTTAAATAGTGTGGTGAGTGACAAAGGCTGCAGAGCTACATACTTGGTATTATAAAGTAACTGTACTTGAAAATAACTTTATAATTGAATAAGGGTACATTAAGAAAATATGATTCAGAACCAATATTATAGTAATTAGATAAAGGAAGCATAAATGAAATAACTGCAGGAAGAGTATTTCCATAGAGATTATAAATGAGATTTTGGTGGAGCAGAAAGGCCTTTAATTGTAATTTAGTGCGCACTACAGAATTATCAGCACCGTGTGTTAGTTCATCATATAAAAGAATATCTGATAATTTCCCCTAATAAGCACATGACAGTTCTTCATATTCTTTCATTACAGCTGATTAGGTATAAAAACAGTATTCTTTTGTTGGACTCTTGTTCAGATCTTTTATGAAAAGGCAAGACACTGTAACCCTGTTTCTATATTACTGTCCTACAGATGTGGTATTTAAAGAGGCCAAAATGGTACTTCAGTCAGTTTTTCTATTTTTATTTCATTGTTTAGCTTTTAAGCTACTTTATTTAAATTCAGTTATTCTCCTATTTATTGCAAACACTAAATTACAGTGTAAGTGCATGTGAGCAAAAAGAAAACTAACCCAGCCTGGATGGGTTCCTGACCTGTGCAAAGCCCGGCCTCGTCAGGCATGGTCTACGTACAACTGCTCCCTCCATTTTGGAATATAAGGTCTTAGGCACCTAAAACAGTGGCCTTGTACAAGCTCCAAAGTCATCTCAGCCTGAACACGTTCCTGAAGTACCTACCCATTCATAGGCTCGGAAACTCTCAAGTGGCAGGAAGGCAAAATTTTTAGGCTTGTCCCTAACTTTGCCTTTCCTAATAATTTTGAGCCCCAAATTATTATTTACTGTTTTGTATTGTTGCAGTGACTGAAGGCCCCCACTGAGCTTGTGACCCAGCTATGACATTGGGACAGATTGCAACACCCCCCCAAGCTTAAGCACAAATTCAGAAAATAAATAACGCCCCATAATTGGAACTAGTGAGATGCTTCAATCATGTTATTTTCCAAATTCTAGCTTAGCCTGAAAGTCTATATGTCAGGGGCAGTAAAAATGTGTTTCAGGAGTTCACACATTACCAGGTGCCCCACAAAGGACAGGGCAAATTAGCTGGGCTCCCCAGCATCCTTCTGGCATTTTTGGTTAAAGAATGTTTAGAAGTTCCTTTTAACGCCCAGCATTGATACTATCACTTTTTTTTTTTTTTTTTTCTCCTTTGCAATAATCTAATTCACCGAGGAAATAGGAAAGCTTGGCACAATCTGACAGGGCTCAAAACATCTCCGTCCTACTGCCCTGTAGGTGACCTATTTGGAACCAGCTTGTTCAGCATCAGCTTGGGACGCTGGAGGGTTGGCTCTTGCCTGCTGAATTCCACAGCAGCGGTTGCTGGCTCTTGCTTCCAGTGGCTGCTGTGGCTGCAGGTCCCTGCTCCCAGGGCTCCTGTGTGTTCCAGTGCCACTGGGTAAAACTGCAGAAGATGGCCTGGCAACTGGGCTCGGGATCTGGGATTCCCAGGCAGCTGCTCTGATGAGAACCTCATGTTCTCTGCTGTGAGTTTTTTGGGAGGGGCGTCACAAAATTTTGCAGGTGTCAGGCAGATGTAGGGGTGGTGGAATGGGGTTAATGTAGGTCCCACATGAGTACAATCTGACACCGCACACAAGCCATCCAAGAGCCTGCACGTGCCTCAGCTTTCGTAAGAAGTAAAGGAGAGCCAGTCACTGTGACAGGCTGTCATCAGGAATCTGAGGCCTTCTGGGGACACAGATGACAAGCTTGAACTTCTTCCTGTGGGACTTTTCTAGCTGAGTGAAGAGCCATGAGGGAGACCTGCTCTCTCCTCCTTTAACAGTATTTGAAAGGAAACCTTTGAGTGAACTTGTTTTCTCTGGAGCAAATACGTGCCTCCAAGAGAGGTGCCTGACTTGCTCCTGTACAGCTCCCTGGAATATGCCTTCATGAGACCTTTAAGACATCCTCCTCACTGGCATTGCCTTGACCCTCCCATTCCAAGACTTTTCCTGGACATAGGGACAGTGCAGGACCTTAGCACAGGACTGGGACTTTCAGTGCATGTGCCAGGCAGCCGGTGAACATTGTGGTACCCGGGTCCTACACACTGAACAGCAACGACCAGCAAATGCTAGAAAGAGGAAACCTTACTGTTGCCATTTTGCAGATAAGAACCTGTGATACAGCAAAATTCAAGCACAGCTTGTAAATCTCTTACATCTGTGAGCAGTTACATGGAGATAGCTCCTATTTTGCATAAGCAGTGCTGGGACCAGTTGTGCTGGGCTCCCTGGCAGCACTGTCATCATGTTCACAGGTCCCACCAGGTGGGGACGGGACTTTGGGCAGGCAGAGGGGTAGCAGCTGGGATGAAGGTTTCCCAGGCTGGCTGAGGGACAGGAGGAGTTGCCAGCAGTCACAGCGAGTGGCTGGGAGCCTCCAGAAACCAAATCATGGAAAGGGTTTGGAGGAAAGATGGTTAGACCAAGCGCTTGAGGCCAGAGCTTGCTGCAGCAGACAGGGAGGCAGCATTTTAAGCAGCTCTCTTCATCCCCTGTGACGCATCCTCCTGAGCACTTAGTGAGTAAGCTCCATTAGGTGATTAGAGATGTGTATAGATTACTAGCAGAAGAATATAAATATAGGACATGAAGTTTCAGTCACTTAAGGTAAACTTACCAAAAGGTCAGCTAAATATTAACATTGCAGTGCCCAAAATTAATTACAGCAAGGGCAGTTTCTGCATAGATTAGTCCACTGACAGAAGACACTAGCAAAATCATTAAAAGATGAATGAGCAAAGTAGTCTTGGTTGCCCAATTTTCATAACCTTTCACAAGAATTAAAAAAAAAAATGCCCAGAAATTGCTGCAGATATCTCAAGAATTATTTGTCAGCCTAGAAACTTAATTATGTTTTTGCTTTCAGGAAGATATCCAACACTTGGCTTAGCACGGGCTGGTTCACAATGACTATCGCATTAGAGCTCTGTGACAGGATAAATGTTTATGGCATGGTGCCACCGGATTTCTGCAGGTAGGATTTATTTTGGAACCATTATTAGCCAACAAGGTTGAACGTTACAGATAAATATCTGAATCTTTTTCTTTTTTTCTCTGTAACATGTCTTCAGTCCTCTTAAAGCAATTAATTAACATGTCCCAAGATCTGATTCTGAAAACAACAAACAGCATTTAATTATGTTACATAAAATATTTAAAAATTTTGTTTGTAGTGTGGGAGAATTAATCCATCTTGTTGGTTTCTTTTAGTCTCTGAATATTTATCAGCCAAAAGTAATGCAATAATTGGCGTGAAATTAATCTAAAAAAAAAAAAGTACTGCTGGAAAATGATACTTTTAATTTGTTATTAAAGTTCCACCCAGTTAATAGAGGACTAGAGTTCTCACAGTGACTAGTTTCTAAATTGAACTTTGTACACAACTCAGATTAAGGTTTTATGTCTGCCACGTGAATCCCAGTCTTCCAGTACACTAGCTTCCTAAATAACCCCCACCAAAACCGCCCCCAAGAATTTGGACCTGCAGGATAGACAATCAGTCCTGTAATCACCCATTTTGGTCCCACAGGGTGTGGGCCCCAAGTGGCAGAAGCAGCACATGAATTCTGTCAGCGCAAGCTGTGGGTTTTATAAAGTAACAGCACGTGTACGTTTTAGGGCTGCGTGGTGCCTCCAGCCATATTCAGGGCTTGGGCCCGAGGTGCTGGGTGAGGTTCCCTACTATGGATCAGTGAGAGAGGGAAACAGTCTTCAGGGCTTCTGGTACTGGACCCAAACCACATGAGCCACGTGATGCAAAGCACTGATCCGGTACAAATTCACACAAATTTGTTTTACATCAGCAATCATTATGCTGACTTAAGTATCACCTCTCCATCCGTTACTACGTCAAGCACTCTGGCCCTTCAGAAACACGTGGTGTGTGCCCACACCTCTCCCTGATGCCACACGCACTGTTTGGTGACCCAGCAACACCCTGAGCTGGCACTGGCACTCTGGAACGGTGACATCAGTGCAACGTTTCATCACCTGTTCGTGAATCCCTGTCACCAAGCAGTACTTGCTTGAATTTTCTGTTGCAAATTCTAGTGATCTCAGTGAAGTCTGGTTCATTGACTAATGCAAGATGCCTTTCAGGGGGGCAAGGGGAGCAGGGCTGCAGTGACAGGTCAGCTCATCTATCAAAGAACAGGACTGCTCTGACTTTTTTCTGAGCCCTGAAAAAGATCATTCGGGAATCTGCATTTGTCCCGGGCACATAAGTAGAAATCCCTGAAGAAATTACGATGTAAAATGTCAACAGTAAATTCCACTTTGTAAGAATTTCTACAAATTATGACAAAACACTGATGATAAATGCTGTGATGTACAGCCAGATTTCATAATGAATTCTCCAAGGAAAATAACAAACTAGATCAGATATTCCAGATAACATAAATACCTTCCACAGCACAGCATTTCAGTTCCCCTGTCGTTTCAGTTGGCCGAGACACACTTCTTCAGTTTCTCTAAGTGGCTGCTCTGTCTTACACCAGAAGTGGCTGTATTCTGTGGGGACATGGAAGTAATTCTTAAATTGGTGATCTAAAAAAGCAGAAGACAGCAATCCACTGTAAAGCAATGCTCAATCCTTACTTTTCAGGCAGAGTCAGATTAGTTTAGATACATATACTTCATTTAAAATAGCCAACTGTTTTTAAGAGAGGCTAAAACTGTCATTGAGAACATATGAAAGGCTTTCGTAGAATTGGTACACTGAAATTAAATGGATATTATATTAAATTATAACACAAGAAAGAACTGTCATCAGTCCTACCATTGATAGATACAATAATGCTCACAGCCTGCATTAAAAAAAAATAAATATCTTAACATAAAGGTACACTTACCAGGTCATAAAAAGAGAAAAGGTCATTTCTTAATCAAAAGAATATGAAGTGTCCTTATTTCAGGTTTACTCTCCTGATGATGAAGGGGAAAACTGCAGTTGCTGTGCCTGAAAGAAGCTATCCATGAAGGTCTATGAAAAGAACCTCTTGCCATAAATACAGTTAACCTTCTTCAGCCACTCATTAAGAAGTTAAACAGTGCTTCCTTTCAAAGGAATAAAACAACAAAATCGAATATCAGAAATACAGAAATTTTCTGTATTTTTAAGCCATATTTCCTGGTTTTCAGTCAGACGAAATACAAACCTACCATTTCAAAAAGAAAAACCAAAAAAACCCCACCCTGCCTCTCCTGTGTGTGTGCGTGAGATGGTGTAGGTACTTTAGTTGCTGTGCAACCAAAAAATCATTAAGATTTAAAAAAAAAATCCCACCACACTATTTCTGTTCAGAGTTAATATCACCAAATTTACAACTTCAGCAGATACCCATTATTTTTTAAGTATTAATTTGTGGAGTAAGTAATGAGCGTGGGTGATCACTGTCATGGAACTAAATTAGTATCACATCTGTAACGTGAAGGACATCTCAAAGGTATCATGAATATCATACTGTTGATTCTGCTGCAAATTATTAGCTTAAGATCATTAACCAAATTGCTTCCCACCCATGCAGGAAAAATAGTCTGCTGAAGGAGTCTGGAGTACAGACTAAAACTGTTAATTGCAACAACATGTTTTAGATTCATTTCTATTTACTTTCACTGGACATTGACTTTTATAGCCGAACTGGGATTGGTGACCCGATTATTATAAATTTCTAGGACTTGGCAGCAAAGCTGTATGTAATATCGAATCCCTTTGCTACAGATTTATGCTGTGCTAAGGGTTAATGGCTTCGCTACTGCTCTCGTGCTGTTAAATACATCTGACTTGCACATTCCAGAGTAAGATGAAAGCGTGTGCTTCCGTGCACGCTGCCAAGATTCTGGGGAGCGTGAGCACCTCTCACTCTTTTCTCACCAGAAAGACAAGCCATCTTGCTGTATTTTTCCCAGTGCCCAGGGCTCCAATCCCACCCTTTGCTGGAGCAAACCAGCACCCCAGATGGGGAGCCTTTCCCTCCCCGAGCTCCCTTTGGCAGCCTGCCCTATGCCCAGAGCTCACTCCTGAACTGGGACGTTGAGGATTTTCCTCTTGCCTCCCTACGATCAGCGCCCAGATTGCGGCAGAGACAGCCCCACCATCCCTGAAGGCGCTGAGATGCTGCTGCTTGTCTTTGTGGCTGCTGAGCAGCATCGGTGGGAAGGACACAGACAAACCTTAACACAGTTTGTGGTAACTCCAACCCCTGTCTGTGGGAGTATGGGCAGCGGTGAGAGGCTGGTTCCTTGCAGGTACCTCTGGGTACTCACACACACCAGGAAAACGCAGGGTGTTTAGTAAGAAGAGCCCTCTTTAGCCCCCCCCCCCTCTTCGTGGGCTTTCTGGAACTCACAGAAACTTAAAGCTTAATTCTGAGCCTTATTTTAACTAACATGAATAATTTTTGCTCCAATTATGGACCCAGATCATTTTCCTCTAAGAATCCTCATTTGACTGCCAGGCCATTTCCCATCTGTGATAATTTGCCTGAAAGTTGGCATTTGAAATCCTTTAATCTATTCCTTTGGGTACAGCTTTTGAATCCAGTGTTTTCTTACCTCCCTCTCTCCACTTTCACTTGCTTTAAATCAAAAGTGTAAAGTAGTAGTTGTCGCTACTTACCTTTCCTGGGGCTTACGAGGTGCTTGATGGAAGAAGGGGTGCTCACAGGATTGTAAACTTTACGGGAGACAGTCCCGCCCCTTTGGTCCATGTGCCCGGATTCCACCTTGTTACCTTCATGACAAAATGCATAAATGTTTGGATAACTGGGCTGGTATGGAGGTGAAGGAAATGGGATCCTGGGAAGAGAAGGCAAGAAATTATCCAGAAATCTTCCTAGTCCTGGCACAGCACCTTGCCCATCACTCAACATATTAATGAAACTGTATTCACCCTTCAGAAATACAAATTATTTTACAAAGCGTGCATGTATAGTTACAGTGGGTTGATTTATAACAGTTCTTCATTTGTAAAGGAAGAGGTTGACCAGAAAGTGATATGGGATGGCCTTGTTTTTCTGCCTTGTTTCTTCTGAGGCAATGACTGTTTGCTGTATTTTCAGCTTTCGCTGTGGGTGGATACCATCTGTGGGAAAATGTGCACTGAAGTGGCAAGCAGTAGCTGAGTGACACTGGGTACAAGCACTTACACGGTTGCTGTGCTGGCAGGCTATTAGGCAGGAAGTACAGTATATATTACAGAGGAACTTTCCTAGATTCCTCCCAGCTGTGATATTAATATGCATGCAAAGTCTGACAAAATACTGATTAATGTCCAGTATCAGTCAGTGATAAAACAGCATCTGTTTTAATGTTAATAAATGAGGTGGCAAGCAATTTCCGTATAGAAATTACTCATGCGTTTCATTTGCTGGTGACACAAGCTAATTGCAGAGTTAGAAGATAACACAGTACAGTTAATTTGGATTATGGTGTAGTCAGTCAAGCCAGAGTTCAAATCCAAACCTTACTAGCGTGCCATCTAGGGGAATCCAGAACTCCCATGAAAGGAGACAGACTTCAGACAAAATGTCCTAGATACCCAACTACCTTTTGGAGTTCCTAAATCCAAAATAGAGCATTTGGAATTCAGCCTCAAAGCCTTAGACAGCTGCAGAGTAGTTTTGGAGAGGTCTAAAACCACCAGCATTTTCACTTTTGCACTGAATTCACCTCCAGTTCAGCCAGTAGGCATGCACAGGAGCCCTGACAACACCCATCAGAGAATGCCTGAACCCAACAGGGTGCCTGGACTGGTGTCAGGAGTGTTTCTGGACTGTTTCTGATGGGATATTGCACAAAACAGAGTAACCAGTTACAGCCTGGAGCTAAGGGCATCCACTTAGGATGGCTCAACGTATCAGCTTCAGAGCCTTTGATACAATGTGGAATCCCTGCCTTCACAAGGGAAACCCATTGCTAAAATACCCACTGGTAACATACTGATAATGTAAGAGATAAAGTGCTTACTGGGAGGTTCAGGCTTCAAAATACTGCTTCAAAGAGGTAAGGGAAGAGTGTAACCCGAGGTAAATAGTAAGTTAGCAGAGCAAGGGGGAAGAAGGAGGACCACAATCAAGCCTTCTCTCCTTCCTCTCTGTGTTGGCTCCACCTGCTCCCTGTACCTGTATACTTTGGGATTTGTGTGGAGGAAAAAAAAAGACCAGCATTCCTGTAGATCCTCTGTGAGAAACCCAATTCCAGTTATCACTATTACCCATTGCTAATTTCAGTCTACAGCAAAGGAATAGGAAGAGACATGCAGCAATTGATTTCTTGGGTTTTGCCCTGACAGTTCATGTTCTGCAAACCCAACTTAGGCCTTCATTATAAGAAGAAGGGGTGGGATGGGGCAGCAGAAGAGGATCCCAACCAAACCCACCCGAAGACGTTGGGGCCAGCAGCCGCGCAGGCTCACTCTGCAGTAATGAGCAATTAACCTAGTTCCCCTCTGGCTGCATTTAGCCCAAGTCTGTTGGAGACACGATTTCAGCTTTCCTAATCCTGCCTTTAAAGCAGTAAATACTCACCAGGCATCATAGGTTCACCCTCGAGAACACAAAGAGTAAAATCCAGGTTCAGCGCAGCAAGGAAGAACCGTCTAAATGGGAGGCAGAGGCCTATTTGTTTAGTAGTTCTTAAGAAAAAATAAATCACATTAAAATGTATCCTGTTAGATTTAGAGTAACCACACAAATGATTCATTTAAGAGATTACAATAAGAGGTCCAATGTATCAAAAAAGTATGTGAAAAATTAATTGAAGATTGAGATCTAATACTTGTAGCTAAAAAAAAAAACCATTAAATTTCTATATGAAGGGTATTTTTTACATTACAAATATGTTTTCTGTAGGTGAGGTATTGAAGGATTTCTTTTCACTCACTTACGTATTCCGGTGAGACTATATACAGTAAATTTAGAATCCATCTTATTCTAGAAATGTAATTTTATTGTTATTCTGGTCTTGTAAGATTGATCACCATGTTGTGTTACCGGGAAGCTAGATTGATTGAATTAAAACGTTAATCTAAAGTACAAATGGAAAGCAGGAGCAATATTATACATTACTACTGCATATACAATATGGATAATGGTAAAATAAGAAAAATTAGAGAACTGCATAGGTGACAGAATTACACAGTAAAAATAATTACCAGGACAAAATACTGACAGATTGTGGATGCATTCAATTGAAAGTGAGCTTAAATATTAGCTCTTCAAAATGAAAATAATCAACTCTATATTAGAGCTGACAGCCCCGAATCTGCATGAGATTTCCTGCTCTGTACGAGGGTCCTGTTCAGCTCAGGCTTTAACACAGAGCAGTTCCAAGGCTTCACTAAATGGTAATATTTGGAACAACTTTTCAGTAGAAGTGGATTATTCTGTTTGGGACAGGTATCTCCCTTTGCATTCACGGCAGAGACAGTTGTATGGGTTCCTGTCAGCCCAAAATACCTGTGCCCAAAGTAAAAACGTAATGGGTACAGTTTGATGTAGAGAATAAAACAAAAGGAGAATGAATCACTCTGGCTTATTATAATACAAGTGTGCCTTTTACAGAATGTAACATCAAAACCTTGAGGTTAGAATTGCTAAAATGAACTTTATCCTAAATATCTAATTGGTCTGTGGCATATCCTGTGTGTCACCACATGAGTAGTGCATCTCCTGCTGGTTAATGCCGATGGGCTCACAAGGTCAGAAGAATACTATGGGTGAATGTTTTAATTTTTAGCTTAGATACATGAAAGTTGCCACTGTAAAATCAAAAAGAACTCATTTGTGCATCAGATGTTTGATTATAAACCCAGCAACAGCACTGTACCCCTGACCTGGCGTGCAGACAGGCTCATTGAAGTGGTGCGCTCAGAACCTCGTGCACCACGCTGGGAATGCTCAGCCGAGCTGATGTGACACAGATAACCACCTCCCCACTAGCTTCCCCTTCCCTTTCTTCCCTCAGTTCAGTAAATACCTCTGCAAGGCTTTTTATAAATCACAATCTAGATATAAATCTCTTAAGCAGTTTGCTTCAAATTTCAGAGAAGTAACACAGCCCTGCAGCGCGCGCTCTCTTGTTTTTGAGCTACTGCTGTCCTCTGTTTAACTGGGAGAAGGGGATTAAAGGAGAGCAACAGAAAGAGCAAAGAAAACACCTTTGCCCCATTCTGATGTATTAAATATGCAAGAAAAATACAGCTACCTAGAAATCTGATTTAACTGTGAGAAAAAGTGGATTTGAGCCCATCAGCTTATTAAAGATAGCATCTTTTCAATCAGTAAAAAAGAACATCTCGGGCTTCCATCTATTTTCTGTCTTCCACAGGGATCCTAATCATCTTTCAGTACCTTATCATTATTACGAACCTTTGGGACCTGACGAATGCACAATGTACATCTCCCACGAGCGGGGCCGGAAGGGCAGCCACCACCGCTTCATCACAGAGAAACGAGTCTTTGAGAACTGGGCACGGACATTCAATATTCACTTTTTCCAACCAGACTGGAAACCAGAACCGCTCACTGTAAAGCACCCTGAGGTTAAACCGGTGGTCTGAGGGACGAATGTGCAGGACTGCAATCACAGTCACCCACTGCGTCAGCCTTCAGGGTGTTGGACCTTCTGGGAGAGCAGGGCAGCCTAGAGGAGAAGGGTAAAACAGGATTTAGCAGCGGTAACTGCAAGAGCAGTCAGGAACATACGCCGAAGGAGCAGAGCGTATGGAGAGCACTGCCTGTCAGACTGCGCATTAACCCAGTATATAGCCTTTTTTTGGCCATCTGACTTCCTGTGTGTGTATGTGATTTGTGAAAAACAACTTGAGTATCATTAACGGATGGTTAATTCATTATGGTTTTTTAAAGTACAATGCCACTGAATTTTCATAGTGAAAACTTACGCTATTTATTTAATGGAGGTTTTTTATGCAACCTAGGCCAGTATTTTTCTAATTCACAGTTACGTGGTTGTCTATCTTTCAAATCCAAAATTAATATTGCTGATGGTTTGAAAGGCCTAGCTTTTTATTTATAAAAGTTGTTTGAAAGATGTGATTCTATATAGCATGTTAATTAATATTTGATCTGGAAATGTTGCATTTCTTTTAAAAATCTTGGGCTCTGTTCCAGCCTAAAGCCTTTAACAGCAAGAACGGTCCCATGTGCAGATCTAGCTAACTTTACATTCTGACATCTCATGTTAATATGAAAACAGTAGTGAAAATTCTGTTTGATATTAATGTGCATTTGCTGCTGTGCTATCAAGCTGCTGTTTTTTAATTAGGGGTGGGAGGAAGGAGGGCAAAGTTTATCCAAAAAAATCACTGTCTCCAGCAGCGTGCTTTTCAGCAAAGAGACCAGGCTGAGGCTGGATGGGCTTGTGTTCTCTTTTCCCTCTTGTAGTCCTGCAAGAGGCTGGGGAGATGCTCTCCTGAGGCACCAGATTACAAACCAGGCAACAACAGCTTGAAACAACATGACCAAATTTCTGAAATGAAGAAGTTACCCTACCAGGTACTACACCACCAGCCATACTGGCCAAAACGATTATTGCACTGCACCTGCAAAAATCTCTGCCTTCCACTGTTCCAAGATCATTGCTGATCTCCGAGATCCTGGATCGCACTGAAGCTGGGATTTAAAAAGAGCTGCACATATGTAGAATTGTCCCCTTGAAGAGAGCAAAGTTACACTTGGCAGTTTTTTCATGAAGGGCACGTGCGTGGTGAGTCCCTGCAAACCAGGGGGATGGACAATGCTAGTGCTGTGTGTGGAACCTCACAGTGGGAATTACTGGGTTACATTTGGCTTGTGAATAAAGAAGATTTCAGTTACGGTATCATTTTTCCCTTTGCCTCACAGATATTAAATCTCTAATGTCTTTGAAGTAATCAGTAGGAGCAATTATTGCATGAAACATTATACCTCAGGTGATGAAAGGTGTCTCTCATTAGGCAAATACTAAAGCTAGAACAAAGATTCGACTTTTAAAACATCTAAATCCAAGAAGCAGAACCTCAGAGGCGATACATAGAACTGGGACCAATCTCACTATCATTTAAACCCACAGCCTTCCTCTTTCCAGACCTGGATAGCAATAGCTGCAGCCGCCCTGCAGATGCCCCGATTCTCTGGGGACAAAGTGAACTGCCCTGTCAGGGGCAAAGCAGTGTTACCCCTTAACGCCGCCTGGACCCCAGCAGCAGGCTCCAAGGGACACGCTGCTTTCTGCAGCCCTCCCCACTATCCAAGAGAAGAAGCTATTTTGCCTTAAGTTTTCTTTTGGTGTTCTTCTGGCACACACCACTCAGCACACAAACAGAATGCAAAGCTCTGCTTGTGACCTGTCTCTTGTCAGCTGGTGTTTAACTCTCCCCCTTCACGGACTGTTTTATTCCTTCCACTTGATTTCACAACATTCTACAAAAAACAGAATGGATTTTGAACTAATGGTAATTTGAACATCCTTTTCAGCATGTGTACTGGGGCATGTATCCAACATATATTGCTCAAATTGATGAACTCTGTCAAATTGATTTACAGATCACTTCTAATGTGACTGCAAAAGATGGTACAGCTCACAGTAGGTCCTCTGATGCCACCATCCTTTTGTTATTTTATTACCGATATCATAATAAAAAAATCTTGTCATTCTAAAATAGAACTCTTAGTTTTTCCGCTAATCAAGGGCTGCCGGATGTGTATGGTAAACGTTTAGTTATTGTTAAAACCAGACATTTTAAAATAGATTGCACTGATCTACTTTTAGTATTCAGCAGAAGCGTGGGGACTTGCCAGACTGCGCTGTGTTCCACCTGCTCGTTTCCTGTCTGTAAGACTGGTCAATACCAAGGAGATCAGATGAAGCGTTAAGAATGTGAAGAAGAAACGTGGGTTAAATTGACATCAGGTCTCCTGAAGCTAAGGATTGTAATTATTCCTTCTTCAATTCCTGTTAATAACAACACTGTGTTCTTGCTACCCATATACACATCCAATCTTTTACGAAAAGCGAACCTAAAACTCATTTTAGTCTCATCAACTTCATGTAGAGTTTCAGCAAGTTCCCCCATCTAATTACAAGAAATACGAAGGAATATTTTCTAAGAGCAAGTCACACCTGTATATAAAAAATTCACTGCAAAAAAGAATTTAATGAAGCCAAGGAGACTGCAAGTTTTAAATAAGATTGATCACACAGATTTATATGGAATATAAATCCAGTGCAAAGAGCACAAATTATAAGAATGCAAAAGAAATGAAAATAATTTTTAAAGTGCTGCAATTTTAATTTACATATTACTGACGTATTTTTCTATAAAAGCACAATTTTTGAACTACACCATATCCTGCTACATTTCAGCCTGACGTAAGGTTTTATAGACCGGTTATAAAACATAGAGATTTATGATAGAAAGTTCTGTCAGAGCAGAGATAAGAGGCACAGACCAGGCACCGCAGCCATTCTCTGGTTTATGCTGTCACCTTACACTCTTCGCTATAATTTCATTGATTCACGATCTTCAGCGTGCATTATTTCACTTATTAAAAACTGTTGCAAAGCAGTGTTTATGGACATCAGCAGTTTTAAGATCTATGTTACCTTTTTTCTGAGCTCCTTGCATACCTTAATGCTTTTATGCTTGGCTTCATCAGAGTAGCTATTTTTCATCTCGAAGAACCAGAGCTCTTACGCCGTGGCATGTGCAACTGGAATTGAGAACGATACAGAAAATATCTCTGCAGCCAAGAACAGAAAAATACAACTCTTGCTTTCTGCTCTTTTGGCACAGTGGCTGGAAGGTGCCCAGCTATCGGCATCACGATACGAAGGAAAACCACAGCGCACTTGGAGAAAACCTTCCATGCAAAGTGGTAAAGCACCTCAGAAAGACAAGTGAATCTTTCCTCCTGGGTAAGGAAGCCGAGGAAAGGAGAGGTTAAGAGACTTACCGAGACCAAGTCACAGCCTTAGCACTGCGTTTTAGAAGAGATTCGGGTCGGCTGACGGCTGCCCCTGGCTCTGGCCAGTAGCACACTCAACGGCAATGCCATGTGTTACGTACATGAACAGATGAACAGGAGCACAAATTGATACAATTCTGCTGGAGGTGCTCACCTGGGTCTTGCCCTGCAGTATTTCTCAGGCAAATTTCATAAGAAACTTATCTGATTTTACCTAAAATAGCTCTAAAGAGACAAGGACAGAATAATCTAAAAATAGCTGGAAAAGCACTGGGGGGTGAGGTGAGAGGGGTTTGAAGAGTAAGGAACAAAGCGTGGTTTGTGCTATCTGGCTGTATTCCCTTCCAGTATGAAGATCAAGGTCAGGCCGGAGCCACCACAGTGGAAAGTTGTGGCTCAACAGCAATGGCTGTGCTGCAGGAGCTTCCTTCCAAAATTTCAGAAATCTATCATGTGCCACAAAAACTCTTCAAAAAATTCTGATAATCACTTCTGACTAGTGAAAGTTGTTTTGTTTGATGCAAGAAGATGCAATTTCTAGTTAAACTAAAAACATAGCTTAGGGATTAAAAACATAAAGAAACAGTTAACCAGTGAAAGAGTACTTTTAACGACAACAAAACATAGTGCAAAAGAGCAGAAAGTACAGAAACCTTACAGGTGTCAACACTTCACCTTTCCTGATCAGTTAATACTGATCACTTTGAGTTTCCAGCTGCCTTCTGCAAAAGCACAACTCGCATATCACAAGTATAAGATTTTATAAGGAGAAATGAGAAGAAAAAAATTTAAGGACAATCTCCTTTAAAAAAACCTAGGAAACATGAAAGGGCAAGAGTCTAAGGTGGCGAGAAATTTCTCCGTACAGAAGCAGAAAAGTATAAAACTCAAAGGATATTTTATAAAACGGCTGTAAAATGGTTCTGCGTATGCTAAATATCGTTAAAACCACTAGATTGTTAAATGTTTTCTACACTGAAAATTACAACAAATCATGAAATGTCAAATGATACCCTTTGACCACCGTGAGGATGGAGTTTCAGTGTCACAGCAGAAGCAAAGATGGTGACTTATCACAGCTGTAGAACTGTAGAACAGGCTCCACAGTAAATGCAGTCGTGTGGAAACAGGTCATCAACCAGCATCTCCTTCCCTTCTGTGGCACCATCCCAGAGGTGCCAGCGAGAGAGCACGCAGCTCTCAAGGCACTGGCACTGCCAGCAGAAAAGGGAGACGTTTCTTCATGTTGGCTGTTGTTGAACACAGACCCAACCAGAGATACTCAGCAGATGATCAACGTACAGTGTCCTTGTTCACTGTGAAGTACTTTGACAAGGAGTTGTCAGAAAGACAGAAAAGACAGGAAACTACATATAGGCAACCCAGACAAACAGATGGAAAACAGTAACAAAGAACAGCACTAGCAGTCACAAAGAAGATGCATTGGCTAAGATGTAACGCAGCTTTTGTATGAAAAGTCATACCTTGCAAATCTATTAGAGTTCTTCAAAGTCCTCTGAAGCACGTGGAAAAGAAGATCCAGGTGATGAATCTGCAACTAGTTTTGCAAGGTGTCTCTTAAAGGATTTCCAAAGAAGCCACAGGATAAAAGAGAAGATCCTTTATGGAACCCAGCTAAACACAGAAATAAGGCTAAGAGGATACACCATCAGCTTAAGGTTGCAAGCAGAATTCCACACAAAAATGTCTCAATTAATTTTTTCTGCTTTTCTGTACTCCTTCCGTAACATCTACTACAGGTCACTCCTAAACATAGGATAGACTGTCTAAATAAACAGATTTTTGAAAAAACTAAAAAACCAATTGTATCCAATGAACATCAACTTGCACACTGAAGCCCAGTTACAGCCTTGCCATACTCACTAGGTGCGAGGCAGCCACAAGGCCTAACAACAGTAACCACATTCTCATTTTATCAAAAGCAACATCAGAGCATCCAGCTCAGATGGAGAGCGAGACTGGACCCTTTTTAACAGCCAAGGAGAGTCATCTTAATAATTTGGTTTCTCAGAACAGGTTTATCTCCTTCAGGAGATGCCCAGTGATATTTAAATCTGTCAGCTTCTTTACACAACCCAGACAACTGTTAAGATAACATCAGTAGCTTTTGGGACACGAGGTCCTTGCTGAAGTACAGGGAAGATAAAGGCAATAACACATACTTAGTGAGATATAAGGTTTTAGGACTTTGCTGACTTCACTTTCGCTCCCAGATCAGTTGGAGCCTGTTAGTTCAGATCCAAACACACAGCGTGATGTGAGTCTGCCAGTAGCAAAATGAAGGAAATTCTGAAGGGAACCATTAAGTGTGGATGAGTTTAAGGCAAGAGCTTAGGTTAGGTTTATGTTTTAACAAAAATGGCAAAAGCAGTGAACAGATTTATAACCTATGAGGATATGCTTCCCCCCACTGCATCCTTGCTGTAACCGAGCTGCACACAAGGCCAAAACTGAAAGAGGTTATTGGCGTTCAGTGGGACTGTTCATTTGTGTTGGACAAAATTGGAACATTTCCCAGTGCAGCATTATATTTTTATTTTATTTAATAAGGCTACACATCTGTAGACAAGCATTAGATGAAACACTAAAAAGCTAGTCCTGGTCAGTCTATTGCAAATGACACGGGAGGCAAGGAGCAGCTCTACAGAAATGAGCAGCAAAAGCAAGCGCAGAAAACCTACACACACACAAAAAAAACCCTAAAGATGGGGACTACTGCAGAGAAAGGTACATAAAAGAACTGTACAAAATACAAACATACATTGCAATGACATGCTGATGGCCCTATTTGCCACTCCACTTGCATTAAAAGACCAAGGGGACCCTAAAATCATGACAATTTGAGCCGTAATA